TTAGTTTTTTTTGTAAAAAACATACAAACTCATAGTGGTTTATATGACATTGTCTTTACTGAGTAAACTTAGAGGTCGCAAATAAATATTTATATCAGTCAATATAGAAAGTAATCTGGTTTCATTTATATATATATATATTAATAATTAGTCAAAATTTGTATTATAATTTATGTATATAGTATATTATGGGTTTAAAAACATATAACTATATCACAAAAAAAGACACCCGTGCTTGTTGAAAAAAAAATTTCAATATATAATTTTATGTATGAAGAGTAGAATTGGAAATAATCCAAACCAGAAATAAACCAAAAAGCAGAATAGAATTTCAGACCAAAACCAAACCTCGATTTTAATGTGATAACCGAATCAGACAAACCAATCTGACGTGGATGATTCAAACTTTCTTATTGGTAGAATATTTTTGCTCAAGTGGACATTCTAAGGTGGCTTTTAATAGAGTATGATTAACCTTTCCTAATTTGTTGGTTCTGGTACAATATCACAATAAATCTAATGTCTATCTAATAAATCAAATCGCAATATGCTTTGCAAAGGTGGTTAATCCTAAATTTTAATTATACTCTGTGATTATAATAACTTTCAAATTTTAATCCTAAATTTTACATGTTAATTTTTTTAAAAAAAATAATGAATAGTAAGAGAAATTATAATACACAAATATAATGTAATGTTTAGTTTTTTTGTAAAAAACATACAAACGCATAGTGGTTTGTATGACATTATCTTTACTGAGTAAATTTAGAGGTCACAAATGAATATTTATATCAGTCAATATAGAAAGTAAACTGGTTTCATTTATATATATATATATTAGTAATTAGTCAAAATTTGTATTATAATCTATGTATATAGTATATTATGGGTGTAAAAACATATAACTATATCACAAAGAAAAAACACCCGTGATTTTTGAAAAAACAATTTCAATGTATAATTTTATGTATGTAGAGTAGAATTGGAAATAAACCAAACCAGAAATAAACCAAAAAGCAGAATATAATTTCAGACCAAAACCAAACCTCGATTTTAATGTGATAACCGAATTAGACAAACCAATCTGCGTGGATGATTCAAACTTTCTTATTAGTAGAAATTTTTTCTCATGTGGACATTCTAAGGTGGCTTTATTTAGCCCTTTTACTAGAGTATATATAATGTAATGTTTAGTTTTTTTTGTAAAAAACATACAAACTCATAGTGGTTTATATGACATTATCTTTACTGAGTAAATTTAGAGGTCACAAATGAATATTTATATCAGTCAATATAGAAAGTAAACTGGTTTCATATATATATATATATATTAATAATTAGTCAAAATTTGTATTATAATTTATGTATATAGTATATTATGGGTGTAAAAACATATAACTATATCACAAAAAAAACACCCGTGCATTTTGAAAAAACAATTTCAATATATAATTTTATGTATGTAGAGTAGAATTGGTATATTATGGGTGTAAAAACATATAACTATATCACAAAAAAAAAACACCCGTTCTTTTTGAAAAATCAATTTCGATATATAATTTTATGTATGTAGAGTAGAATTGGAAATAAACCAAACCAGAAATAAACCAAAAAGCAGAATAGAATTTCAGACCAAAACCAAACCTCGATTTTAATGTGATAACCGAATCAGACAAACCAAACTGACGTGGATGATTCAAACTTTCTTGTTGGCAAGAGTTGTTTTCAGAGGTACGTATACTTCCATAATCTATTCTGCAGTTTATATGCTATACTAGATTATTTAACACCACAATACATTAGGTTGGAGTCTAATGCATGCACAAACCCAGAGCCAGCAGCTGCTTCGTTCATTCATGGTTTTCCTAAAGTAGAGTCAGTTACACTTGCAGATACCAATAATGTTCTCGGTGCTCACATGTGTGGAGATGATTCACCAGAAATAATCCAGGTTTCACTATTAAAATGGCTACCTTCTGTGAAAAATAATCAAAATAAAACATTATATGATTGGAGATGACTTTCTTTTTCTTTCAATATGGCAGGGATTTGGGTTGCGGATTTGGGTTGCGGTACAGTAAAAGCAGAAGTAGCGGACTACGTTGTGTATAGGTGATTTTTTCTAATGTTGATGGTAATGAAATAGAGCACAAGTGAGCTAAGGGAGGAGCTAAACAGAGTCAAGTTAGAGAAGCTTCATAGGCGAAGTGTCCAAGAAATAGATATATGGTCAAACAACTAACAAAGAAATGAAAACAAGATCCAGAGTGCTTAGGGGTTTCCTATTGGTCTTAGTAGTGGAAAACTGAGAACAACTCCAGCAAGCAAGATCATCATCAGCAGCAGCAACATGAGCAGGAGCGTTTCTGCATAATGAGTGGAGAAGAGAGATGAATTTGTGAGTTCTTTTTTCTTTTTTTCCTCTTTCCAATTGTAACTGTTATTTGAGAAAGAGATGACACTTACTGTCTGCACATATTACAAGTACATAAAAAATCATAAGCATTCAAGAGAACTTAAATGGCATTTGTTTAAAAATGGTCTCTGCATGATATAATATTGGCTTGGAATCAAGACATCCTTAACAAAAATGCTACAAAAGTACAGTGCCACATATTGGAAGTTACTTACATCTCCTCTTAGTAAATCTATCATGTTTAGCAACAAGAATCTCCAAAATCACTTTCTCTTAATATAATCACAATATCTTACAATATCCCTTACGTTGTTAATTCCATGGTTGCAGAGACTACAATCCTTTGGAATCCTTGAAGAAATAATACCAATAATAATATAACTTGAATTTGGTTCTTCGGGGTTTCAAGTTTGTGTTTTCTATGGTTTAGGGTTGATACTACCGGGGTTTGTGGCCTTTCTTTTAATCTATTTGGGTTTGGTTGGAGCAAGCTCTGTTTCTTTGACCTTTTATTTGAACCCTTTGTATTTGTATTTAATAAGACAATCTGAAAAGGCATTTTCATGTTTCAATCTTAGACCATTCAACAAGTTCACAAATAACAAAATTCTTTTATAGGCCGAGAACCTGTAAGCTAGACGGGTCCAGCTCTAAAAATATTGGTACACACATAAATGTATTTTAGGTGCCTAAAAATACAATCATAGATCATATACAATCTAGAAAAACATATTTTTCTTGAACAATAGATGGATCATAACTTATTATAAGTTGGGCATTTGAAACATTTGTAATGCGAGTATCAAGAAATACTTTGGATGATTAGTTGGGCATTACAAGTTTAGCTTCCTTTTTTGGATTTGGCTTGGTAACATTGGTGTGAATTGGTTCTTTTGAAATGCTTTTATGTTATGATATTGTGAAAAAAACACCCTTGATGTTATGTAGCATAATATGGAATTTGTCTTAAAAAAAAACTGAATGTGGAATTTAATCGAGATGGAGCTTGGTGGTTGCGATTCTTTTTTTTTTTTGGTTTAAAAAATATCAGATAAAAATATTTTTGATAAAAACTAATGTTTACCAAATTATTCATTCCTTTTTCATTTGTTCACCATCCTAAGCATATTTTAGATATAGTAAAAAAAAAAAATTGGTGAATTCTACTCATTTTTTTTGTAACACGGTGAGTTCTACTCATTAAGTTCAATTTATTATTTAGATCTTGAACAAACTGATGTAATATATAAAATTAAATATAAGAATATTTGTATAAATTACCCGGACGTAGCCCGGGCAAAGTTTCTAATAACAACTAAAAGAAAATTTTTTTTTACCACATATTGTTAGTTACAATTCCTATGTAATCTATACATTATTTTTTTATAAACTTAGTTTTATATTTACTTCTAACCATTTTTTAAGGAGAAAACTGCCAAATTCAAAAAGCAAAAATAATCCTTAACTAACACAAAAAGACAAATTAACCTTCAATTTTCATTTAATCCATTTTAATCTTTAACTTTATAAACTGTCTATTTTAAATCTCAACTTTGTTGATTAAGCCATTTTAGATACCTGCAAAGTTAACGTTAAATTGATTTAAGAATTGATCTTTTGTGTATCTGAAATGGCTTGGTAATCAAAAGTTAAATTTAAAATGGACAATTTTCAAAAGTTCGAGAGTATAATAGCTTAAACGAAAGTTTATGTTTTTGTTCGTTTTGAAAGATTTGAATTTTAACGGTTTTCTCTCTTTGGAAATGAAAAATCTAATTGTTTTTTTCGTTGTTACACATTCAATATCAGATCTTGGATCCATTATTATAATAATATTAACTACAAACATTGGTTTTGAAGTGTGTGAATGTACTCACATGTAATGAGACATCAACAAAGTTTAAAGGCATAAAACTCTCTTAGTATAGCCAAATATATTGTCATCTAATTAGCAACAAAAAGGTTTGTATACACTAGAGAGGTATCCGAATGAATCTTGCGCGTATACAAAAGCCTCTAAAGGCATTTTTTTTAGCTTGATTGTTAAAAAGATAAACTCAAGAACATGAAAAGATCGGATTGAGAAATCAAGAGAGGGAGCGAGAAGGAAAGTAAAGAAAACTAAGACAGAAAGTGTTTCTCGCTCTCTTTTTTGGTCTTGATGGGGAAATAAAGGCAAAAGGGTTAAGACCCACTAAAGGAAACTAAGCTTGTTATTAATTATATAATATTCTTTTATACATTGATATTAGAAATATTAAAAGCCTCTTAAGAACTCACCGGCATGGAGGAAGATAGAAGGAGAGTGAAAGAGGAAATATAAAGAACAAGCAAACTGTTGTTTGTTTATTGTGGGACTCTTGCGGTTGGTGGATGCAGAGAAGCTTTGTGAGGCTATATGCTACCTATTAGTATTAAATATTTTAGAAGCTCCCATCATGGAAATAACTTTTGCATAGAGATTATACTAGATCGTAGTAGTAACACTAGACTGTTGCGCACTTCACCATGTACCGTAAGAGGAGCATATGTAGAAAACTTTGCAACAGCAGCGATTGGAAGATTAACAGGAGTGTGTGAACGGTCACCATTGTGTGATGAGCAAGTCAGAATAATCAATTCCAGCTATGTTTCGGTTAATAGAACTAAGCTTTAATGGTCCTTTCCTTACAACAAACTGTAAAAATAGAGAGGGAGAAGCAAAGGCAGTTCAGAACAGATGGTAGTAAGATGGGAGGAAAGGGGAGAAGATAAAGAACTCACAGTAGGTCCAGAGTCACGGAACCAAGAATCATTCATGCTCATCTCAACAACTTTGATATCCTCTGGAAGCTGTTTCCTTGCATTTCCCCACTAAACATTCATAATGGAAGCAAAACTAATTTAGTTATATTTTTTTCTTATAAACTCGAAATATATGTGCAGTATGATTGTAAACTTACCTGAGTGGGGCTTGCACAGACTGTAACAAGTTCGAACTTTGAGATAGCCTTTGCAACATCTACAAACACTCTTTGTGCAGGTAAAGCGTTGTGACGCCAGTTGTCTTGCCGTTCCTGTATCCATTGTTTATGTCAGAATAAAACCAAAATCCAAAAATCACAAAAAAAAAAAGAAAAAACATTGTTTGAGGTCAGGACACTGTTTGAGGTTAGGACTAACACTGTTTGATACATACAATCAGAAATTACAGTAGGTTAACATCATCATCACATGGTCAAAGATATTTGTGTAGTATCCAAAATAGAGATATCGATGTCACAGATCTCATAATCTCAAAATGGTATTTGAATATTAAGAAAATGAGAATACGTAATTTAGAAGCTAAACCTTCATAAAAATATCAATATTCATACGAAACAGAGAACTCATCAATCTTTTCAAAAAAAAGAAAAGAAAAGAGAACTCATCAAACACACACATACATCAAATCATGAACAAAGAAAGAAGATTTGAAAACGAAGGTTGTGCAGAAGATTAACAGCGAGATTCAGTTCTAGGAATCGCCGTCAATGACTTTTCTCTAATCAAAGAACAAACATTCTCTACACATAGGGAGAAGAGAGGTGAGAGGAGATTTACAGGCCAACCGATCCAAGTTTGAGCATGAGGCTCCCACTCAGCCGGCATGTAGAAGCCGTGTTCCGCCGGCGGTGAATCTCCGGCGGTGAATCTCGCCAGCAGAGACAGTACATATCGCTTTGGGTTCCATCGGCAAGTTCGTGAGAGAGAGTAGAGGGAGTAATAAGTTTAATGATAACAAAAGAAATTGGGGAGATCTATAAATAAAAAATTGGGGAGGAAGGTGAAGAGAGAAATCCATTGAATGAGATAAACTGTAGATTAGCTAATTGATTAGCACAGGAGTGGGAATTAATGGTGAAAACTGAAGAGAAGAGATCGTATAAGAGGTAGTCGAAAGATTAGAGGAGGATCTGGAAACTCTGTTTCTTCTGCCGACAAAAGCAATACCTGTATTTGACAAAACCAAACCAAACATCCTAATTTATTTCAGAACCAAAATTAAATGGCAAACCGATGACGTGGAGGATTTAAACAATACTATTGGTTAAATAAACGTAAGATATATGATACAAATGTTGATAATCAATACAGAATAAACTGAAAAAAAATCAACAAACATAACTGGAATCGAAATGATCTCCCATATCGAAGGGAACTTTTGAAAAAAAAAGTTTCTCCCACAAACATAAGGTTATAAAAAAAGATTTTGATAATGGATAAGAACAAATTGAAACTAAATCAACCAAAAAAATATAAATCTAAATTATCTCACATAAACAAAAGCATGAAATCATCTCCTAAAAACTTAAGCTTTAGAAAAATAGTCTGAAATTACGAGTTTTAACGCCAATATCATTGGGATATCTGGAAATCTTATGATTGAGAGAACATAACTGATGAATTTCAGAGGATATGACTTACCTTTTTAGAGCCACAGATTGTGAGAAACGAAGTAAAGAAGATGCATTCAGTGATAGATCATGTGAGGCTTAGAGATCAATTGTTAATGAGACCATTGAAGACGACGATACGATTCAGATTAACTCCGTAATGTTTCAAGACTCTATTTACGCTGGCAAGATGAAATAGAAAAAGAAGAACTTTAGGGTTCAATTAAATTTATGGTCGGTAATGTCATTCCTGGGCCAATCTGAAAAACAGTGAAACAATAAAGCCCAAAATACTTAATGACGCGGCTAAAGAAAATGATTTGATTGGAGAAATATTTTAAAGGACGTGGACAGCTCCAAAATGCTCTACTAAGAGCTTTTAATAATGTTAGATAATTAACTTGGTACTCCCCATTTCAGATTAAATATTATTATAGAGAAAAAAAATCGTTACAAAAATTTTTTATTTTCAGTTTTCAATATAAAATTTATAAAATATATTTTATAATTTATTTTCCTATTGGTTGAAATATGGTTAGGTGTATAGATAATTGTGTTTTATGTGGAAAATCTACAAAACTAATTGTTATTAATTCGTATGCATAAACCTAAAATTAACACTTATAATGAAACAATAGGAGTAATTTTGAAAGCTTTTTAAACAGTGATTTGATTAAAAATTTGCTTATATACTACTACTTCCGTTTTAATGATATATCATATATGCACAAATTAAAAAATATTTAATTTTTTACATTTGATAAATAAAAACATTATCTAGGATTAAATGAAAACTAATTTGTAATTAGCAGGACAATGCTATAACTGCTTTCTGGTTTTGTACTAAGAATTATTATATCAGTATAACCAACAGGAATGGTCTGACCGATCAGAATTTAAAACCAAATAACATTAATTTCTTTAGTCAGCGAGCTATCAAAAGCAACAGATCGTACGGTTCTCGTTCGCTCCCATGAATCAGATCTTCTATAAAAAATAAACTAACGGCCAGGATTTGTTAAACCCTGGTTCGACAGCATCTTCAAATAAGCAGCGGCGCGTGGATAAGAACACTATCAGTGACCATTGTCGGCGACGGAGCAAGGCTCCGCCGGCTGCTGCTGCGTAATGCAATGTATATTACCACCAGCTAGAACAATCTCCCTAGCGTTCTTTATCCCCACAATCTTAAAAAAAAATCAAAAACGATTAAAACTATTAACACTCTTTTCATTTCTAAACCAAAGAGTTAGTTAACTACCGAGTGATGAGGATACGTCTCTGAGAGGACACGAATAGCGTCTTCATCACGTTTCACATCACCAAACTGCGGCACGATTATGCCACCATTAGCAATATAGAAGTTCACATAGGACGCTGCGAGTCTCGTCCCTGCAAGCCTTGGTTTAGCTTCACCTTCTTGAACGATTCCACAAGCTTCTTCTTCTGTCATGTAAAGCGGTCCAGGGATGTGAAGCTTAACAACTTGAATATTCCTCCCACGAGCATCAACGGAGTTTGAGAAAACCGAAAGAGCTTCTAAAGATATTTCGTATTGAGGATCGGTTTCATCATCTGTCCAAGAGAGTAACATAGCTCCCGGTTTAGCAAAACAGCACATGTTATCAATCTGGCCGTTTGTGTCATCATCACCGTAAAGACCACGTGGAAGCCAGATGAATGTTTGTACTCCGAGATATCTCTTTGTAGGAGGTGGGCTGTATCCACCCCTCAAGGCCTACAAAAAATCATATTCGGCCCGATAAGGGACGAACCGTCGACATTGACACGTAACTCGCTGATACCCGAGTAGTGTCCGTACGAGTAAGGAACTCACCTTGCCGAGCTGAGCAAAGGCCCAATACCGAGGGCCCATTAGCCGGCACCAACTTAGGTCAAGATCGAGAGAGAGGTCAAACTATAAAAGGGGAGGAGGAGAGCACGAAGGGGGGATCCGAAAAAGACTGACTAGGCGGTGACTTAAATTAGGGTTTCACACCTTGCTTATTTCGTTGTCAAGTTCATACATACTTTCCTGGCCGAGCTCTCCGAGCGCCGGGAACTCTTTGTACTCATCCCCGATTATAAATAAGACCTCTTTCTTTACTCGTTCTCACTTACACCTTCACAATAACCCACCGACGAGTCCAGTCACTCACTTCACTGATACATGACCGAACTCGGTTCAAACAGTTGGCGTCCACCGTGGGACATAACGAAGAACTGTGACATCACTATGAACGAAGAAGCTCCCTCTGACCTACAACCGGAAGAAACTCCACCGGTTCTGAACGCCGATACCCTAATGGATTCCGTTCTAGCTCGCCTCGCTCACCAAGAAGAAGTCCAGAAGACGAGACAAACGAGCATCTAGCAGCTATCGCCGCCGCGCTCGCAAACCCAGACGGAAACCTTTCCACGGCCCGACTATTTCTTTTCAACACGAATTCGACTCCTATTCCGGCTAACCAACCCATCCAGCCGATTGAAACCCGGTTGACACTACACAACCGGCAAACAGCCCAGATCTGCAAACCGTTCGAGAAATCGCCGAGTTGAAGATCGCACTTCAAGAGATCCATTCTCAGATCCACCACGTTACGAGTGCCGCTCCCCAGATAGATAAGGTCCTCACCACCGCCCTCCGTACACCTTTCACTTGCCGCATCACCGATCTCCGGCTGCGCATCACGGAGAAAATTTGACTGCCTACCTTTGGCGGCACCGACGACCCATCGTAACATATGACAGCATTCAACATCGCCATGGGCCGAGCCAATTTAACCGACGCGAAAGAGACACTGGTTTTTGTCAACGCTTTGTCGAGAGCCTCGAGGTGGCCGCGCTGAATTGGTTCTCCCGCCTGCCGGAGAACTCCATCGACACTTTCCGCGACCTATCGACGGCCTTCCTAAAACATTACATCATGTTTACCAACCAAAAAGCTACAGCCTCCGACTTATGGAAGCTGTCTCAGCTGCACGGTCAAACCCTAAGAGACTTCATGGAAAAATTCAAGGAGGTCGTTTCCAAGGTAGACATCCCCGACAACATTGCAGTGGATGCCCTGAAAAATACGCTCTACATCCACTCCAAGTTCCGGGAGGACCTCTATCGCAACCCAACAACATCGCTCCAAAACGCCATTGCGCGCTCAAACAACTTCATCCAAATGGAAGAGGATACAAAAGCGATGATAAGCAAGCAACATGCAAATAAACCAACGCCGAACAAGACTGCCGACTCAAAACAGGAGCCGAGACAACACTCGGCGGACGAGAAACAGCCGAAAAAGAAGAGCTTCGTCTACATGGTAGACGAAGACGCTATCTCCGACTCGACAGTCGTAGTTCGCGCAAAAGGGTGGAATCATTATCAACGAAAGGAAGACGGTGAACTGAGCGAACCAGCTCCCCAGACACCTGACACCGACGAGCGCGAACCATACTGTTCATGTTGGGGTCAAAATCAGAACGACGGAATTAATAGCCAAAACTCCCCGCAAAAATACAAAAGGAATAGTTTTATAAAACCCGAGGAGTCGTTTTATAAAACTCAAAGTCATTTATATCACTCGAGAAGCCAGTTTATAAAACCCGAAGATCGTTTTATAAAACTCGAGAATCGTTTTATAAAACTCAAAGAATCGTTTTATAAAACTCGAGAATCGTTTTATAAAACTCGAGAAGCCGTTTTATAAAACCCGAAGATCGTTTTATAAAACTCGAGAATCGTTTTATAAAACTCGAGAATCGTTTTATAAAACTCGTGAAGCCGTTTTATAAAACCCGAAGATCGTTTTATAAAACTCGAGAATCGTTTTATAAAACTCGAGAGCCATTTTATAAAACCCGAAGATCGTTTTATAAAACTCGAGAATCGTTTTATAAAACTCGAGAATCGTTTTATAAAACTCGAAAAGCCGTTTTATAAAACCCGAAAAGCCGTTTTATAAAACCCGAAGATCGTTTTATAAAACTCGAGAATCGTTTTATAAAACTCGAAAAGCCGTTTTATAAAACTCGAAGATCGTTTTATAAAACTTAAAGATCGTTTTATAAAACTCGAGAAGCCTTTTTATAAAACCCGAAGATCGTTTTATAAACTCGAAGATCGTTTATAAAACTCGAAGATCGTTTTATAAAACTCGAGAATTATTTTACGAAACCGCAAAAAACCGAAACAGCCGTAAAACGTGAACTAGTCGAGCATCTC